AACCCCAATATACTCGCTGTAGTTTCCATTTTCGTTTCCATTATCCGTATATAACCCCAATATAACCCCAACATAATCACTGCAGTTTCCATTTTCTTTTCCATTATCCCTATATAACCCCAACTGCTTTTCCGACATCCCCACCAGTCTTGTTGGCATCGAAGAAAGAGATAGGCCGCTGGATGAGAGCCCAGAAGAACTCACGTCGCAGGCGGAAGGCGATTCTCTCAATTGCTGTTTCAATGAGGAAGAGCCTGCAAAAGGTTGCAACGCCTCCGAGAACCATCACTCCACCACATAGCCAGGTATGATCCATAACGAAATGAAGACCATCTGCACCTTCACCGAAGAGGTCTACAAGCTTGCCCATGAGATATGGGTATGACCTCAGCAAATCAAGATCAAGAAGATCTAGGATTCTGTCAGCTTAAGATGCACGCATGCACCCGACCGGTGTGGGCATGGCGTCAGAATTTCCCAGACTCCAAGACTTGGAAAAACTGACGGTCATAGAATGAGCCAAGCAGGCCCTTATTCTTATGACTTTTGGGATTCAGGTGGCAGCCCCTCAGTTGACAAATTCCTCCTCATAGCACAGCTTCAAACGGTCTCAGCAGATACACATGTACTATGCAACACCCTCGCGTAAAGATACCCCATGCTGAACTTTGAGTAAGCATGCATCATATTTTTCAAAGCTAGGGGCTAGGGTTCTGCTAATCTCTGAGAACACCTGAACCCTGCAGTCAATGTTGTTGATGGTAGAAATTCCGCATGACCTGACTCCATGAGAATGCCACAGACTTATAATCACGTAGAATTCGTGGTTTCCATCAATATGAGGACCCCTATATACCATCCTCCTTTTGTGGGGACCCCCGAAAGGCGCACCTAATTTTGGTGATCCACGGTATCAGAAGGGCCATCTGAGGTCTAAGCAAGTTAACGGAAGAGGATGCGCACAATGCCGCAAGAGCCAACCTGGGTGGCTCAGGGTTTAGGGTTTAGGATGTTCAGGGCTTAGGCTTAGGGCTTGGGATTTAGGGCAAACCCCTCTTCTATGAGAACCCCAAAATCATGACAAGGAGGGTCGACTCGTCAGGGGGGTGTACCGTAGGTTCCCCATGCTTTGAAGAAATTACTCCTGCATAGTCTTCCAAGAATTGCTGAGAACGGCCTTCAAATCCTTAGGCAAGTCTTAAACCATAATTAAACCTTAAGTCGCCGAACCGAAGCCCAAGTTAACCAAATCCTTAGCCCCAAGCTCCAACCCCCTTGAACCCCAAACCCAAAATCTCCCTCACAGCAAGGCAAAGAACTGAAGACGCCCTCGCTCAGGCCGCAAAATTTGCCAGAGCTGAGGCAGTGAGGCTTTCTTGTCTGTTTCCTGGGAGATGGGTTTAGGGTTGGGGAATGAACATAAGGAATCTTGAAGGCATTATGCAGGGACTCTTACTCATAGGATCCACTCCCTCTAAGCACTTGTCAGAATAGGGGCCAATTTTCGGGGTTGGGGCGTCTCCCCAAAGTTGGGGCTGGGGAGGCCCGGCCCAGAGGGGTTTCGGGGTCCCAAAATGGCCAAACTTAACCAAAAAGGCCCCAGGCCTTAGGTCCCAAAAATCAAAAAATGACCTGGGGCCCGTTTCTGCGGAAGAGGATTCGGGGAGGGTCTGGGGGCCCTGAGAACTTGCAGGTTGTTGCATAGTTTGGGGCTACCCCTGTGATAACTACCTATGAGCCTTCGCCAGTCGTGTCAGGAAGATGTACATAAGAAAGAATGGTAAACTCAAAGCCATGCTTGAGAAGACTGGCAGAATGCTACCCAAGATGCGGTCGCAAAACTTCCCTGCACTAGAATTTTCTGGTAGTTTCTATAAATATGGGACCCCAATAAAGACACCGATGCACGATAAGTCTTCTAGGGGGACCCAATAAAAGGGTGTCAGAACTTTCGACGTTCCGAGTGGATGAGGGAACAACTTACTAGTTGCTAGGCAGCGAATGGAGGAAAGGTGTTGCTTTAGTAGCTCCTATGCAACCCCCAACCCTAAACCCTAAAACCTAAACCCTAGAACCTAAACCCTAGAACCTACACCCTAGAGCCTAAACCCTAAACCCAAAAACAAGGTAGTTTCGTTTTGTCTTCATCCCCTTCCGTGCTGAGCTGAGGTGATACTGGTTCCGGCAAGCCGCCTCACTCAGGGACTTGCTGGAGTTGGAGTTAAACCTCACCGGCACTGCCGGAACCTCTGCTGGCGCTTAAGGCGGAGTGGAGTGAAGGTAGGGAGGGTTATAGGGAATTATAGGAGCTATAGTTAAAACTCCTAGTATCCCCCTAAATGTAACCCCCCTTTAAGAAGTTTAGACTATAGCTCATACAGGTATTATGGTAAGGGACTGCTTTTAGGGATAAGGGAGAAGTGTCGGGGTGATTCTAGGGATCCATCCCCCTACCCGCAGCAAAGGCACTACATGCTTCATGGCTTGTGGTGCTCGAAAAACAGGGCCAGGGCCGTAGATTCTGCATCGTGTCCTTGCATGGCCTGCTGCGGCGGCAGCATTTATGGTTTAGGGCTTAGGGTTTAGGGTTTCCCGAACTTAGGGGTACCATTTTGGGGGGTCCCCATATAAGGACAGTCTGAGAGCTATTACGGTAGTTGGGGCCCTAAACCCAAAAGGGGAGTTCATGGCAATGCAAAGCCTACACCCTGAACTGTCTAGGGTTTACTGGGTTTACTGGGTTGCTGTTAAGGAACTTAATTTAAGTTACCCTAATGGGTATATAAGGTAATTTATATGGTTCTCAAAATTTTAGTAGCTTAAATTAAGTTCCTTCACGGCAACCCAGTTTAGGGCTCAGGCATGGTATAGTTAGGCGCCAACTGCACCTGACTACTTGTACAACTTGGGATCCTACTATTTCTTCCCCGAATTGCAACCTCTGATCTGGGGACATAAGTCAGTTTGGGGGTAGAAGTCTGACTGGCGAAGCACCTTGAAATCTACAGTCCCTCCCCCTTAAGTAGGTAGCATATGGCTTTGGGTAAGGAAGAATAAGATCCCCATATACCCCATACTCGATCTACTAAAGGGGACTATAGGTCGTAAACTCCAAATCCCCAGAACCCGCCTCGAACGCCTCGAGACGCAGCAAAGCAGCGGAGCAACATGGCAGGTGGCGTGGCAGCGTTCTAGCTTTGAGAACAGGCCGCCTGGGTCGTATAGGAGACTATTGAAGTTTAAGAAGCCTTGTTGCTGTTTGTGCAACAGCCGCATAAGGGCTCTAGCAGAAAGCATATTGATAACCCTTCAGGCTTCTTCCATGTGAGCTTGAACTTTGAGTAACTAATTACATATGCCCCTCTTACATACAATGGTACTGTATTGGGGAATATTTATTATTCGCGGGGTGGGTGGGTGGGTGGGTGGGTGGGTGGGGTGGGGTCGGTTTGAGGGTCTCAAACCTGTCTATAGTGGAAATCCTTGATCTACTCTCTTCTGCTATGCTTGGCCGGCTGTGGCATGCTGTTGTGCCACAAGATGCTGGGTTGCTGTTAAGGAACTTAAATTAAGTTACTATATTGGGGAAACCCTATTATTCACTGTATATACCCCTTATGGTAACTTAATTTAAGTTCCTTATCAGCAACCCAGGATGTCCACGGTCAGTGATCCTTTCACAGACCGTCACAATCAAAGGTGTCTAGACTTCATGCTTCGGGCTCGAGGCTTCTAGGGTCTATCATTGAGGCAATGGGGTCTAGGTACGTGTGCCTACTCCTGCTTGCAGAACCTGACATCCCAAGTAGAAGCTACTTCTCGTTTGCAACATGGGGAAGCATCCCACCCTAAACCCCAAACCCTAAACCCTACGCATGCTGGGATCAAGTGTCTACAGTCTCTGCTGGTCTGGAGATGTCTGGATGGGACTTTCCAGACCCCGGGTCAGAAGGCTACTTGGACATTTAACATCAGTTAATCAATCAAACTAAAAACACAATTTAAACGATCCGTCTATTGCTTTTACCACATGGAATTCAAATTTCTTTCAATCCAGGCGGTTTCGGGCTCGGAGACTACCTCTGCCATTTAACTGCTTTCGGACCTCTAAAATGGCACAACACAATACCGTTAAGTCCGGTGAGTTTTAGTGATGTTGATCTCGGATTAGGGGAATCTAATGGTACCTATTGGGTAACTTCTAGGAACCCTTAAGGGGGATTTACCTTTTTAGATCCTCCCAGGGGCCTGGGTTGGGGCGGCTGCTTTTGGCAGGCCATGGTTTGGGGATCTGCTTGGATGCTTGCAGACGAAGAGAGTTGGGCGCCTTTTCCTCCTTGGCTCCAGCACTTTGAAACCAGAACCCCGCTGCACCCCGGGGCGGTAAATACTGGGTCGCTGTTTAAGGTACTCGAAAAAAGTTACCACAATATGAACAAATAGTAAGTAATAGGGTCTCCTCATCAACTCCCCGGATCGCCCACGACACCCAAATTAATCAAATGAAACAAATATCATCGCTCTACCTGGAACTCATTACAGCCACCTCCGCACAAATAACTCCTTAAGCCTTAATCCCTGCTCCTGGGTCCCGTCCATCTTACACCGTGCCGTTCTGGCTTCAACCCTGCATACGATACACAGGCCAACATGGGGCAGGGGGTTAGTTTTTGGGAGCCCCAGGGTGTGTAAGGGGGACTGCAAACTGTTGGAAACAGCTGAAATCCAACCCGAAAGTCTAACCGCCGCACCCCCCCTCCAAAACACACACACACACACACACACACATGTTGCCCACTTGAGATGACAGCCTAAATCCCACACCATATAATCCAGTTCTACTTCATTTCCATGTACTTCCCACTTCATTATCCCTTCATAATCCTCATAAAGCTCCCAATTCCGGTCCATTTAACTTTCCTTCTTCTGTTGCATATGATTTTCCATTATCGGGTATATCCTTATGTATTCCAATGGAAACCCCGCAAAAACTCTGTGGCCTGAAGAAAGCGCTGTCTCCATCCGAATAGCCCGTCCATGCCGGCTCAACCTCCTTTGAAGAATAAGGGGTTTTTGGTATCCCCAACCCCCCCAAATTAGGACCCTACTGTTGATACTAAAAACCCTGCAGGACCTTATGATACTATAGTACCATAATTCCCACAGTTTAGGGTATTTACGGTCATGCAGGATGTTTAGTATCCACCGTATGAACATCATATGACGGCTATAGGTCCTAATGTTGGGGGTCGGGTTTACCAACGTCCCCTCACAAGGGCCCCTTCGGGGCTGCTATGTGCATTATGCGAGTCTCTCAAACTAGGCGAACCCGTTGGGGTATCGCATACATGACGACAAGGAAATGCTCGAGGCCTTTTCTGGGAGTATGCTAGGGATCGTCTTGAGGAAGACTCTCTCTCTCTCTCTCTCTCTCTGTATACATATATAGAGTATACATACACACGTATACTAGGCTATCGAGGATTACAGGAGTTCGTCTTACAGATTGTTTTTTGGACGCCTCCAACTTGACATCATGTGTTTCGGCCTTCCTCTGGCTTCCATCCCTGGTTCTTCTTGTGACCGCCACTCGTACTACTAAATGACTGCAACCTCCAAGATAGCTTCACGACTAATCAGCGTTAGGGTTCAGGGTTCGGGGCTAATGCTGGAACCATGAGAGCCTCGTAACATGCCCAAATCTTTTCAATTCTTCTAGTTGATCAAACGGTAGCCTTTTTGGAGGAAGTAGGTGTACAGTCCATGTCTAGGACACCGAACAGAAACACCCATGAAGGGATTTCTTGCTATCATGCGTCTCTTGTCATGTTTCACGCTTCTCGGAAGGCCTTCTAGCAAACTTACCCTGACTGATCCCCGTGCCTCGGGGAGCTCCCAAACAGACCTCGGAACTCTTCGGTCTCTTGGGCTTCTGGCCGTCTTAGGACTTCGTTGTTGTAATTGAGGTTTACGCTTTGAGGTTGCTTGGGTTAGTCTTTCTTCCAGTCATTTTTGGTGGGTATGGCTTGCGCGCTGACATGTTCAGGCTTTGGGGACTGTGAGGACAAGGCTTTGAAATCAAGGCTCAGGTTTCATTCCTCCAAGCTTGTGACAGTAGCATACGACTACCACAGCATCCATGCCCAAACCATAACAACATCCGTGCTACTAGTGCAGACGGTCACCAGAGCGTCCATGCCCAAACCAAAAAGACGAGCATGTGGTCACCAGAGCATCCATTCCGCAACCACAATAACGTTCGTGTTCCTNNTGCCCAAACCATAATAAAGTTCGTGTTCCTAGAGCATATGGTCACCAGAGCATCCATGCCCAAACCATAATAACGTGGCTGTGATCTGAGCCAGTACGCAGACATTCAGCATGACAAGCAATGACTGTTTTGAGTGAGCACAAAAGAGTCTCGGCCTGAGAGGGTTGGCACTCGTGCGAAAATTTCCATGTTTTTTTGCACATGTTCCCGTTGCTACCGAGTGTACGANNNNGGAATTTGCATAGGCGGCTCAGTTTGGCGCGCGTTTACGTCAGACTGCGCCATTCTTATTATACCTGATATTCAACTGCTACGTACTGGGAGACAGTACCCAATGGATACTAAGGACGACGTAGGGCCTCTCTCAGGACTGAAGTCGTGTGGTTACATGACATGGTATTCCTTCTTGCGGGGCCTCCTTATAATGAGAATTCCACTGCCTGAGTTGGTATCCTATGGACCAACGGAAGAGAGAGAGAGAGAGGGCGAGAGAGAGGGATAGAGAGAGAGAGAGGGAGATAGAGATAGATAGCTAGATAGATAGATAGACATATATGTATATGTATGCAGGTAAATAAACAAGTGTATATATATATAACTGTATATATCTTTTTACTCGTTCACCAGACCTAAGGAAAAGCTGCCTGATGTGCTTGGCCCGGTACTGGCCCGTTCGGCGATTCCTGCTGGTCTGCGGCTGGTTGTGCGGCTGTTTCGGTTGGGGTCATGAAGGGGATGTGGATTTGTATAAGATTCAGGGTACAGGCGCATGCCTTGTGTGGGTCAATGAAAGTGCTAAACAATGCTCGTTTAGGTTGCCAAGGTGTTGTGTAGGGGTTATATGCAACTTGTAGAACTAAACTAGCTCAACAGAGGGGTTGCCTTCGGAGTCCTCTCAACTCACTTATTTTTATTGCTAAGACTATTATTACTATTACTGTGATTACTATCACTACTATCATTACTGCCATTACTATTGCGCTTATTGGTGTTTACAATTCGCATTATTACGGCCATCCCATTGCCACCGGTCTTGAAAGCCATGCCCCAACAAGCTTCGCAAGGCTCACGAGAGGTCGTGAAGCTCAATCGGTTTGCTGTTGCAGCCAAAGTGCTAGATTTCAAAACAGCCATTATGCTATAAGACTGATGAGGCAAGTTGTGGTCTGGACGATTTGCAATACGTGCATCTAACACTCCAATTGTAGCTATGCTTGGATGACGCCACAGCTGGGCGGCAAGCAGCAAAACAATCCCTGCAAACATGCCAAAGGTGCCAGTAGTACGTTGGCTGCGCGCTTCGCGGGAAGGCCACCCACTGCCAAGGCAAGCAGTTCGAGAGGCAGAGAAAGGTTAGACATGGGCAGTCTGCAACATCTTTCCTCGTCCCAAAAAGGGTGAAACAAATTGAACCCACACAACACTAGGAACTCGAATAAAAAGAGCCGTGCTACCCTGAACCCTACAGAACGACCCCTAAACCCTAAACCCTTGACTCCGAACCCCTCATCCTCAGGCTATAGTCCCCCTTAAGTAGATAGAATATGGGGTATATGGGGATCTTATTGGGATAATGGAAAAGAAGATGGAAACTACTATAATGGGTTATATAAGGATAGATAGGGTTTAGGGTTTAGGGTTTAGAGCCCCTTAAGTAGATAGAATATGGGGGTATATGGGGATCTTATTATAATATACCCACAGCCATATTCTATCTACTTAAGGGGGACTATATGCGTTCGCGGCCGGGGTCGTGTCGGAATGTCAATTTCCATTTATCTGCCTGTCCAAGCTGCTGTTGATATAAAGTACAGGAATTCTTAGAAAAAAAGGAGGCGCCCTAGCGGACCCACTTCAACATATAGATGATAAAGGAAAGGTCCACATTAAGGGCTGCAACTTTAGGAGGATCTTGGGAATTCCAGCTCTTTACAGTCCCTCATTTGGTGAATCACAGATCAAGGGCAAGGGATGTTTGCCTCATCGGACGATGGATTCGCGCTGGCCAAAGATCGAAGTCGGGGTGACCAACCCAGGCGCCGAAGGGCCGTTATAACCTGGATGGTTTTAGGGCTTAGGATTTATGGTTTAGGGTTTAGGGTTGCTAGGGTTTGAAATTCCGGTATAGGGTCTAGGTTGTAGGTTTTAACGGCTGTGCCCTGAAGGCTGAATTCCTGGATTTGGGGATCCTCTTGGAGAACTTTCTGGAGAACATGTGGTCCATATTTGGATTACTTTGGAGCATCTTGGCGAAACAGCTGGTTATATGCTCTGCAAACCCTAAGCGAACTCGAATGATGAGGAGGCCGCAGAAGTAGAGGAAAGCTTCCCGAAACTCTAAACCTCAAACCCTTAACCCCAAACCCCAAAACCTAAACCCCACCCTAAACCCTAAACCCCAAACCCTTGACCCCAAACCCCAAACCATAAACCCCAAACCCTAAATCCTAAAACGCGTTTAGGAAGCTTTTGGAGATGGCCCAAATCTTCCGGCCTCTTCTTCCAAGCCTGATACCTGAGTTCTAAGAAGGGCCTCCTATCCCTCTTTAAACCTCACTGAAGGTTCGTAGGGAATAACAAAATATGTTATACAGGGATTGTATGGGGATTAGATTCAACGCCCTGATTCTCACTAAGCCTCAGTAAGTTCCTGTTTCTGGATGAAATCCTCCCGAAGCTGTCTACCTCAATTGGTGTGAAGTATGCTAGTAAGATATATCGCGAGTCTGATGGCAGAAGCATGGGAGTAACATGCGAAGGCCCAGGCCCTCCAACACAAAACCCACCCCCAGCGGCGGGTTTCTAGTCGTGTGGGGCTTTTACGGGGGACATCGTCAACACATATCATGGCAACTGTAGCGACTGGCTTGATGCGGGGAACCTGGTCCGAAGCCATGCTTGGAGTTGAATTCGCTGTCAGGAATGCAGCCATCAACAAAAGCATCAACTGCCCCTTCCTTCACGAGAACTAGAGCCATGCAGCAGAACAACATGACCGGCCGACAGCAATGTGGGAAACGATGGCTGGGATCTTGCGGACGATGATGCTGACAACGTGGGTGATGATGACAGTGGCCAACAGCTACGGTAGCCGTCGTCACGTATGGAAGAAGCGTGCGCACAGGCATGATAGCTCCGCTGATATGACTTGCGCTTCTAAACAAGAACAGTTGCAACCAGAAAAAAAACATTTTGAGCTCAACCATAAGCTCCATATGACATGCACTCGCGGCCTTCAGGGCCTTGTGCACCACCTGAATCTGGACATCAATTTGAACCTGACATGAGCTATAGCCTAAACTCCTTAAAGGGGGGAACATAGGGATTACGTAAGGGGAAACTAGGAGTTTAGACTATAGCTCACATGGCAGACGCTCACACCCAAGTCTCGCAAAGTCTTCTGATGCTCCAGTGTTGGTCTGGAAAGAGAACCTCACTGAATCATAGTATGGTAGTTTCCGGAAACCAGAGCCCTCCCCAACTTCGTGATTACCTGTGTTAGAGACCCTGTAAAGGATCCCCAATTTTCTGACAGTCTGAAATTGTGAGAGCCTTTTGGGGTTTAGGGTTTAGACTCCAATCTGCGGTTCATGATCTAAATCCGGCCAGAGCAAACAGAAGTTAAAACTCTACACTCCACATTCTGACCTTTGTATGTAGGAAGCACGTAAGCTGGCCAAATGAAAGCGCGCAAAGAACCTGCAACAACCCCTGCCACCATTGGATGATATCTTTTTGAAGTCTCTATAAGTTTTTGGGCTTTAGATGAATTATATAGGGTAATGAGCAGTTAAGGATTATTTTCTAACCGTACCCCTCGAAACCCTAAAACCCTAAACCCTAAACCCTAAAATATTTTCTAACCTACCCGGAAAGGGTGGTTCAGGCTCCAGCATGAGCGTCAAAGCGGCCAAGCTCATCTGCGTCTAGCGGCTGCGTGGCTTGCAAGTGCCTGTCCAAAATGACCTGGGAACTACGGGCCTGGCTTTGGGTAATGTAAGGTTTAGGGTGTAGGGTTTAGGGGTTTTGGGCAATCCCTTCCTTGACTATTAAACCCCCCCGCACATTATGTGGTATATGTGCCAGGAAAATTTACTATTGGGAGGGAGTATAGTCTTAGGGGGAGGGGATGAATGTAGGGCTCATTTGGATGTTGGCGAGAAATGGTGTGGTTTACGATGGTTATTGGGACCTTACAGGCCTGGGCAAAATCCGAGCAGAAGATGTAATTCCTTGCGCTCAGTGCAGAAAAGCATCCAATAGAAACTATATCCCCCCTTAAGTAGATACATCATGGCTCTGGGTACATTATAATAAGATCCCCATATACCCCACATTATATCTACGTCAGGGGGAGTATAGACCAGCCAGAACAGGCGTAGGCACTGTGTAGTCAAACAGTCATGCAGAGGTAAAGTATCGGACGGGCAAGGATTCAACTTTCAGATTATGGAGAACCCTAAACCCTAAACCCTAAACCTTTCGGATATCGGCTCTACCTTCACTAGGTTTCAGGCCTTTGTTCAGCCCGGGGCCCTAAACCGCAAATCCAGGGTTCAGGGTTTAGGGTTTAGGGTTCAGGGTTTAGGGTTAAACACTAAACCCTAAACTGCCCTGAGCCCTTGTTCAGCATTAATTGGGTAGACAGTCTTCCCCTCAGCTGCATGGCCCCCAACACAGTGCAAGACTGCTGCAGACAAGTGACACGTATAATGCACAAGCTAATGATTAACGATATCGTAATCCAAAAATCCTAGTATGATTCTGGTATAAGGTACCTCAAACAAACATCAGCACGATGTTGGCAGATATTAGGTGCTTGCATTAGGCATTGCATCCTTTATGCACTTCAAAGAACAACTTGCCCCTCGTGAGAAGACCTGAAAAGACATACCAATAGTTTGCAGCACGTTGAAGCTCGTCACGGGCCCGTGCGGACAACTGCTCAGAAGGGTGAAGAGAGTTGTGCGCCACACCCCGCTGCTCAATGCGGGACCTGCGCCAGGCGAGCAGTCAAAGCATCAGGAAACAGGTTCAGTTTGAGCATCGTCTGGGAAATCCTGTGGAGGCCCCAAGGCCATTGCAATGATTTGCGACACACATTTCCGCTCCATTTATTTATTACCTGACTCAGCTGCACTGTCCTTGCGGCAGTGGCTCAGCAGAAACTGCAACTGCGGCGGGCATCATTCCCTGCAATCAGTTTGCTGATTCGGGAATGGCATGGAAAAGCACGCCTTAGGCTCCTGAGGAGACCTGAAAGATAATTTACAGCATGCGGTGGTGGCCGCCTGTACTGTACGCATGAACCAAGACTGGCAAACGCGCCAGCTTGGCGAACGGAACGAAAAGATTGCAGGACACACTTTCAAGGGCATGCCGCTGTGCCCTAGGGTAGGCCTCAAAATAAGGGTCCCCCCATATACCATCAAAAATGAGAACCCTTGGCAGAAGGATATCCAAAACATGGGACTCTCATTCTCAGGCGCCTCCGCAAGCCTCCCCTTTGGGGAGCAGTAGCGCCACCCCAGTGGCTCCTCAAGTTCTATGACCTCACACTCCCTCAGGGCTGCATCACTACTTCACCTCCGGGCCCTGCGGAAGTAGAGGTGCTCAGCAACATGAGCCATACTCTATAAACTCCTAGTATCTCCCTTAGTCCCCTATATAAGCCCCTATATAACCCCCTTTAAGGAGTTTAGACTAGAGCTCACATGAACATGATTAAGGTTTGAGGTCGAACATCTACGATGTGGGGTGCAGGGCTTGAAGTGGTGCTTCATCAATACTTCACAAAAGTTCGTTTTTGGAGGACTTCTTGTCACGGTAGGATGTCATCAAGCAGCAACCGTTACGATTGAAAGCCTGATGATGTTTCTTCTCCTTATCATTTGCAGTTTTGACCTACATACTTTTCAATGTTGGGGTACCAGGCAGCAATTACGCATAAGGACAAAGACTTAGCTATCTAAAGCGATACTGACTCTGCTGGTCAACCCTGAACCCTAAACCTCACATCTGGATCCTCAAAAAGCTGGTGCTGAGAGCTTGCCAGGTCACATTCCTTCTCCCGATGAACATACCCTCCCAAACTAACATGGAAGCCCCAAGGCGCTCTACAAGGACTAGTGCTTAAACAAGCTTATGTAGTAGCTTCCATAGACAGGGGGGCCTTGAATTGAACTATATTCCTTATTCTTGGGATCCCCAAAACAGGGGTCCCTAATTTTGGAAACTCCAACCCCTATAAACCGCTGCATCCTAATCTCCATTTCATGTTCCATGTTCTTTTCCGGCGGGTTCCCCATTCTTGAGGGTAATTTCCGTAAACCTATATCCCCTAAACCCTTAACCTCAACCGGGCTTCCATGTTAGTTTTCCGGGCCAGCCTTGACTGGGCCCGTGCCAGGCGCCAGGAAGACCAGGAAGATGATAGTGGTAGTGATAGTGCGCATGCACGATGCTCTCCTGCTGACCCCTAACCCCAAGGGCTTAGGGTTCAAAGGTTGGGGGTTTAGGCCCTAAACCCCAAATGCTTGAACCCTAAGCCGTAAACCCCAAACCTCATGATGTTACCGTTTAGGGTACAGCGTCAGAACTTTGAGGCTTCGGGTTGATAGGCCTGCCCCCTTCTAGTACTACTGCTCAAGATAATTACACATATAGTCCACCCCCTCTTGTAGAATACAGCGGTATATGGGATTCGGATTATGATATAGGGCAATTCTACATTCTATCTACTTAAGGTGAACTCTAAAACCCATGTGTATCAAGAAGGCCTACCTCCAACTCCGACAGCACAAGAATAACTGCGACAGAGGAACCTAGTCCCTGGATAGCAAGTCATCATACGGACTTTGCCCACCCCTCGCTCCACATATTGAGCCCCCCCCTACTCAGCTCCTGATGCCAGCACTTCTCCCGAGACCACTCTTGCAAGGTTGTTGAGCAAGACTCAGTATTGGCTGATTGGATCTATTGGAGAGAAAGCTCTTCTGAACCTGTATATGCTGGCTTCTAAATGTAAGATGTAGCAGGTTGAGGCTGTTTAGGTCAT